CCAGATTGTCAACAAGGCATCTGAAATGAGGAATGGCCCGCAGATTGAGACCGGAGAGGTGAAGAAAATCACGGACACGAAAACAAACAGAGCGCGTTCTGCCAGCAAGACATCATCTACTATTGCTAAGAGAGCCCGTCGCCTGAGTCAAGGAGTTGGGAACCTGGATAAGTCAACTGCGCCACAAAGTTCAGTTGTCCTCAAACGTGAAGAGCTGTCTGCCAAGATTGACGGGGTTAGAGTTATTCTTATTGGTGACCTACACGATCTACCTTTGCTCGATTGGAGCGTTAAGAAATTCAATGTCGATGTGCGCGACTGGTCATCAACGCTGAATGCCGATACCAACTTCGAAACATTCTTGAATGTGTACAACTTCTCGAAGTCGGCCTGGGAGCCGTTGATTGAGCCCTGGCAGCTGGGATTCCACATGGCCAAGGAGATCAACCCGGATGTTTTCTCTTTCGATGTGTATTCGCACAAGACAATGGAGCTTACCGTAACATCCGCCACGATTGCGCTCGCATCCAAATCATTCCAGTTCCTCTCTACGGATCAGGATGTCCTCTCCAAGCCAAGAGGCGCCGATGCCCCATACAGAATCCGCAACTACACTGGATTTGACCTCAGAGTTTGGGCCGATGTCAGCGGAGGAGGGGAAGGTCCAGCGGCAAAACTTACTGATGGCGAAGAATCACCATGGCGATTTGAAGATTCCACCGCTGTCCGTGAAACGCTGACACCAGAAGGCCTCGGTGGAGTGGTTGGTGTCAAATTGGAAGGCAGTGGCTTCGATAGTATCAGTCGCATTCCTGTCGTGCGCGAGGGCGAGACCATCTACGCTCTGAAGCCGAAGCAAGAAAATGTTCTTCATCGGCTACTCGTGGAAGTCAAACTGGGGCCTGATAATGTCAAGTACATCACATTCCGTTCGCCGCTTCTTATCGAGAACAACACCCAAATTCCCGTGGAATTGGGCGTTTTCAGCCCCGGAGAAGGCCACCTGTTGAAGATAGAGAAGATTTTGCCTGGCGATGCACGACCAGCTCCCGTTGGATCAGCATATCTCCATTCTATCGTTGTTCGTCCCGATCAAGGCTTCGGATATGACTGGTCGCATGAGCGACTGTTCTGGAAGGATCTCATCAAGCGACCCACACGCACTGTCAAGTGCGTTAGCGAAAGTGGACAGCAGTCCCCTCCTTTCTATTTCCAGGTCAACGCAACGTTTGATAGCAAAGATTCGCTTACGGGCGTGTATCCCTACATGAGAGTCCGAATCTTCGCTCCCGTGGAGATTCAGAACCTGTTGCCCTACGATTTCAAGTACCGCATCTACGACAAGAACACTAAGAAGGATTGGACGAACTTCTTGAGGAAGGGCGGCGTCAGTCCGGTCCATGTTGTGGAGCTGTCCCACTTACTGTTGCTCAGCATTGATCTTCAAGATACGGTCTTCCGCCAGAGCGAGTTTGCTATCGTCAACGGCAATGCTCAAGACTACCGCAGAGAGCATACCTTGTCTCTTAAGGATGACCGGGGTCTTCAACTGAAGTTACAACTTCATTACTTCAACGTCCCCAACAGCGGTGGTGCTTTCAAGGTTTCTGTGTACAGCCCATACCTTATCTTGAACAAGACTGGCCTTCCTATGGACATTCAAAGCAAAGCATTCCTTCAGTCTGCGAGAAATGCTGCTGGTCAAGGACTCAGAGCCGATACGAGAGATGAGGGCCGTGCACTTCCGTACATGTACTCTTATGCCAATGAGGATCAACGAAACCGATCTATCCTGAAGGTCAGCGATTCTGCATGGAGCAAGCCGCAGAGTTTCGAGGCTATTGGCAGTACCTTTGAGGTCGTCTTCCCCGATCGCCAAGGCAGATCTGAGTTCCACTCCGGAGTGTCTGTTGCCGAAGGCGAAGGCAAGTATAAGCTGACCAAGGTGGTCACTCTGGCCCCACGTTTCATCCTAAAGAGCAAGCTCAACGAAGATATTCTCGTACGCGAGCCAGGATCATCCAACGTGCTGCAGGTCCAAAACGGGCAGTTGGTACCACTTCATTTCCTTCGTCAAGTACAAGAGAAGCAACTGTGTCTCTGCTTCCCGGGTGTCAACAACCAATGGTCTTCTCCGTTCAACATCGCAGATGTGGGAACTGTGCACGTTAAACTGGCCAAGGCGAATCAGCGGCAGAAGCTGATCAAGGTTGATATCATCTTGGAAGGAGCAACTCTTTTCTTGCACTTCAGCGTCGAGTCTCGCAATTGGCCTTTCTCCATGCGCAATGAAAGCGATATGGAATTCATTTTCTACCAAGCCAATCCCAACGTGGAAGATGATGATGAAGACGACCAGGCTAGCGGCTGGAGGCCGATCCGATACCGAATTCCCGCGCGAAGTATCATGCCGTATGCATGGGACTACCCGGCGACGAAGAACAAGTCGCTCGTGTTGACCTGTCAGGGCAAAGAGCGTCATATCAAACTTGCTGAGATAGGAAACCTGATCCCAATGCGGATTCCACCTTCGCAGCCTGGCGGATACCAGAAGATCATTGACATCAACATAGCTGCCGATGGTCCCACCCAGACTCTCGTGCTGTCCAATTTCAAGCCGTCGAAGAGTATGTACAAGCAACAAAGAGGACAATCCTCCCAGACCGGCATGAGCACTGGATTCGAGGTCAAGGAAATGAATTCGGATGTCAACTTCAAGGCCCAACTTCGCCTAGGTGGCATTGGAATCTCATTGATCAACCAGAACCTGAAGGAGCTGCTGTATCTCACATTCCGTGAGATTGAGATCAAGTTCAGGGAGTCGAGATTGTACCAGACTCTGAACACAACGATCAAGTGGATCCAGATCGATAACCAGCTCTACGGTGGTATTTTCCCCATCTTGCTTTACCCTAGTGTTGTTCCGAAGACTGGTAAGGAGATGGAAGCACACCCGATCTTCCATGCAATGGTTACACGGGTCAAGGACGACTCGTACGGTGTTCTCTATATCAAGTACGCGACCTTGCTATTGCAGCAAATGACGCTCGAACTGGATGAGGACTTCGTCTTTGCTATGCTTGACTTTGTCAAGATTCCAGGTGCTTCGTGGGCTGAGGAGCAAGAGGGTAAACTGTGCGATGAAGACCTCAACATTCCAGAGCCCCAGCAGGCAGACAATGGTCAGGATGTGTACTTCGAGCTCCTTCATCTTCAGCCCATGCAGATGGATATTTCTTTCATGCGTACCGAACGCGTCAACGTGGAAGATGCTATGCAGCCCTCCAACCCGTTGATGTTCTTTGTCAACGTCATGACAATGTCGATGGGTAATGTCAATGATGCACCTGTCCGACTCAATGCTCTGATGCTCGAAAATGCCCGTGTCTCTTTCCCTAGCCTGGTCGGCAATGTCCGTGCTCACTACACTCAAGAATTCCTCCGCCAGATCCATATCATTCTCGGTTCGGCCGACTTCTTGGGTAACCCTGTCGGTTTGTTCAACAACGTCAGCTCTGGTGTTGCCGCCATCTTCTATGAGCCATATCAGGGTCTGGTCATGACCGATCGTCCTCAGGAGCTGGGTATTGGTATCGCAAAGGGTGCCACAAGCTTCGTCAAGAAGTCCGTCTTCGGATTCTCGGACAGTATGGCCAAGCTCACGGGAAGTATGTCCAAGGGTCTCGCGGCAGCTACCCTTGATAAGGAGTTCCAAACCCAGCGCCGGATGTCCAAGGTGCGCAACCGCCCCAAGCATGCGCTGTATGGAATCACGGCTGGTGGCAATGCATTTGCAACTAGTCTAGCAAGCGGTATCGGTGGCTTGGCACGTCATCCACTGCAAGGTGCCGAGAAAGAAGGTATCCAAGGGTTCTTCAAGGGTGTTGGAAAGGGTGTGCTTGGATTGGCTACCAAGCCAGCAATCGGTGCATTCGATCTTGCCTCCAGTAAGTCGAACTATTTCTCTCCCTGGTAATCATAACTAACGATTTCCTACTAGATCTGGCAGAAGGTGTTCGCAACACCACTACCGTTTTCGATGCTGAAGGTCTCGATCGTGTTCGACTCACTCGCTTCATTGGCACCGACGGCATCGTGCGCCCGTACTCGCAGCGTGAAGCTCTCGGGCAGTTTTGGCTGAAGACCACGGACGACGGCAAATACTTCAATGAGGACTACATTGCCCACCTTGAGCTTCCTGGTCGAGACATGTTGGTCTTGTTGACGTACGCACGTATCATGCTAGTGCGCACAAAGAAGCTGTCTACTGAGTGGGATATCCGTCTCACGGATATTCAGACCATCTCCAAGGAGCGCACGGGAATGAGTATCACCCTCAAGGGTGGTGCCAATGGACCGTTCATTCCTGTCCAAGACGAAAGCTCACGGAACTGGCTGTATAGACAGATTGCTGTTGGTAAGTGGTCACCAGATCATGCTACATAGTGTCATATGCTAACGGATCCCCTTTTCCAGCGGTCAATGCTTTCAATGAGAAGTATAATGCCAGGGGATAAAGAGGAAGAGGCCCCTGGGTTCTTAATGATGTCATGAGATGGACTACTTTCATTTTTGGGACGGGGATTATCAAAATTCACAGAGCATATGAACGGTAAATTGCTCTCGGTTTCTCAGCTTGTTCCATTCACGTACATAATTTGCCTAATTTTGTCCTGGCCCATTTTGGTGGCCTTTCTACTGCTTCTCCTTTCCGTATACTGCGTCAGGCAGTCTAGTTTTTGTGCAATTCCATGATTCGTTTAATAGAGCTCAATCGGACAATTTTAGCTTCTAGAATGGACTTACCTTTGCAATGTATCTCTTCCTAATTCAAGAACCGGAACAATGGGCCATTGCTTAATTCGAATGATATCAAATGGCTTTAGATTCCTCTAAATCAGACATCAAAGCAAATCATATGTGCCTTCTACCTCAACGCCAGACAACTCCAAGCAAAAGAAACCTGAAATCTCAAGCCAACCATCTCAGACGGATACGGGTCAAGGAACAGCCCTCTCCGGCCCCATTTGTTGAGCCGTGTTCTTGATCGTATGAAGGAACATAGACGGGAAGCAATGTCTACCATAACGATCCTCAGATAGCTAGAACAGAGAAATCAGCAAATTGTTCCTAATCCCAAACCAGCAGGAAAAAAAAATGTACTCACCACTCTCCCACCTTCATGCTCCGCAGTCCTGTACCCCAGCCAACGTCTGTACAAATCCTCCGCGCTATGCGTCGTAAACATATACGAGAGCCGGTACATAATATGATCAAACCTATGATCAAAGTTCCAAATACTGACAGGAGCCCCATTAACATTCTCCGGCGGACCAGGGTTGTAGATACGCGCCAGTTCCTTCGGCGTCCACTGTCCATCCGCATAGATAGGATGAGGAACATACACAGCCTTGAGACCATGGAACAAAGCCCACGATGCACCCGTCATCTCCGACGCAAGACCAAGGCCCTTCGTCGCCTGCGCGTGGTGGATCAGATCGAGCAAACGCTTGGAATACCGGCCCATCGTGATGACCGCGGCTCGCCGCGGCGTGTCCGCCCCATTCCTGAAGTTCCAGATCTTGTCCGGGAATGTCCACTGCGTACCTTGTGGGTTGAAGATTGGCAGGAACGTTATGAAATCTGCTTCTTCGCCTACGCCCCAGGTGTAGTTGTCTTGCTCCGGGTATGGCACTGGCGGGTCTGGGCCCAGTGGTCTGATCCCGGTGCCGGATACTGGGCCCCAGATTGTGCGGTTGGATCGGTCAGATAGGCTTTCGTGTACCATTTGTGTGAATTCGCTCCAGTTGCCGTGTGCGCCGGGGGTGTAGAAGTAGGCGTTGCGTTCCCAGAGGTATTTGCGGGGTTGTTGGCGTGCGAATGAGACGGCGCGGTCTAGGAAGTGGTAGATGTGTCCTGTGTGTCGACCGTCCATTTCTAGTTGCCAATAGTAGTCGAAGTGGGGATACAGCTGGGAGAAGATTTGCAGAGGTTGGTGGTGTTGGAGTTGGGGACTGTGAGTGCTGTTAGTTAAGAGTGTCTTGAACATCAGTCGGTCAAGGGTTGATTCACCTGTGTTCCTCTATCTTGGGATACCAAGCTTCCAAGAGTTTGTTATTGAAGAAAAGAGCCATATTCCTGAATTCCTTGGGGATGAAATTCCGGAGCCGGTTGATGGTCTTGATATCAGAGAATATGGGCATCTCGTTTTCCTTGACATGACACAGGAGATAAATCTGATATTCTCCTCCAGTATGTAAGGAAAGTTCCATAATCAATGCCCGAAGGTATTCACTATGGTGAGGCTTCCAATTGAGCCCATGCCACGCCCGAATCAGCAAAGCCGAGCGAGGTTGGTACTGCTTCACACCTGTAGCACGCACAGGCGGCTCCCATGATTTGTGAGGATCCTGGGGAAGATCAAAAGCCAGTGGACTCTGACTTGAAGAGTTTATAGTCTCAGTCGACTCGTACCTGTCTGCGTTCCTTTCCAGGCAGAGGTTTTGCAACATGTGCCAATCAACATCGCACCACGGTACCGCGGGAGGACGCATGAAGCCCGGCACCTCGTCCTCGCCAACATCGTCATACCCATATGCCCCAAAGCGGGAGTACCGGTCGGTGCAAACGTTCCCGTCTAGATCCAATGCCTCGTATGATCCGAATCGCGGTGCTGGGAACCCGGCTTGTTGGCCCTTGTAGACTTGAACCATATCTTCCGCAGACCTGCGGTTGAGGTCACGGCCCCTAGGGCCAAGGCAGGGCTGGAACTTTCCATGAAACTTCTTCCTCCATTCTCGGCTGTTGTATGCCGGGTATGGATCGTAGATAAGTGGGACTGGATGCGAGGCGTCGGGAGACTCGGTACTAGTTAGGGTTAAGGTACCGCCCTCATAGAACCGCTTGTCTCTAATATAAGGATTATTTTTAGCATAATCTTGATATAAGTACACTCATAAGGTACTTAGAATAGGTACCGACCTCCGATCATGTGCTATGCCCAACGCATCTGGCGCAGGTGAGTCGTCGCCTGCTACCTTGTCCCACACACCAACGGTCCCATGATACTGACCAGGCCGAAGGACGGGACGATGTAACGCAGCATAGACAGTCTGGATAATATTTGTCTCCGGGTATCCAAAGAGATATGAGCTAGTCTGGAGAACAGTGAGCAGGCAGGTAAAGTACCCCAACCAGCGCAACCAGGTCCACCGGCGATCCCATATGGTGATAGAAGACCTAGTGTAAAATGAAGACTGCGTCGTATTTCTTGTGAGAAATTTCATAGCGAGCGACAGTTAAGTAACCGGGTGGACGGTGGCATTCTTTGGCTTTGAAAAGCCACCGGATGTGCGTGGTGTGCGTGATAAAGATCGAAAGAGAGGTGTAGGGGTGAGCAATCAGATAATATGGACAGACCAAGCGTATATGAGAAGAAGGCTGGATCTGTTTAACGGTAATATCTACGAGACTGGAGCATTTGATAGGGTTTAGGGGCCTACGATGTCATCACTACGCGGTGTTGACTGCATCTCCGACTAACATTTGGGTAATGACACTCTGGAATCCAACCTGATAGATATGACAGAAAATTGGCAGGAGTTGCACAAGCCGAAATAGTTATATGTTGGGTAGTGCCTGGAGTAATCTGCTATTCTACTGTGTGATTGTCATACCATGTAACACGCCGGATATACGAGTGCTTTGTTAATAGTATTAGATCTGGATTTTCTAGGATTTCCTATCCCGCAGCTGTGCTAAACGTACTTCTTTGAAAAAGAGTTCAGCATGGTAGCAGAAGTTCCACAATTTCCCATTTGAGGAGCAGATATCAGCCCTATTAGACAAGTATTGAATTCTATCAAAGGAACAATATATGGTACAGGTGTACCTATCACAGAATGAACATATCACTCACCTATTATGTACATTATTTTATGGTCCCGCGTAGTAGGGCAAATTCATGTAGCAGGAAGTCAACAGAAGCTGTGTAATAGGGATCGTACAATTAATCTGGAACTGAATTTTCTAGTCTCCCTCTCTCTGTGTGTGTTGCTTTACATTGCGATGCAATGTAACTCCAACGTAGCTCTACTGGTGTTGTCTATGACAGATTCGATGTTTTGATACTCGGTCCTGTATGTTGAAAGGGCAGTATGGAGGCAGCCGTTATCATCTTGCCTTTTCTCATTTGCTATTTTCTCTCCTTGCTCTTCCTGAAGTATTGCCATTGGTAGGGGCCTTCGATGGATCGACGCAGACAGTTACTCATCCTGCCACTATTCGTTTGGCGTGTGGCCTAAGCTCTATCGACCCATGCGGACGAGTCAGACAGACATGGTTTTTTATCGCAGCATGCAGTATTTTATTCCCTGATGCCTATTTACATATGGCTGTGGATCCATTCATCCTCCGCCAGCTCCTTAGCGGAGCTACGTTTGCCAGGTTCCCACTGCAGCATTTTGCGCATGAAACGCAAGAAAGCCTCTCTCTCCACACTCCCCTCGAGGGTAGTTTCCCTTTCCTCAAGCGGAATCTGATCGGTCAATAAATCAGGAGCGAGAAAATCACCTAGAATCACCAAGTCAGTTGGTTCAGATGCCAAAAGGGTTACTAGATATTGCAAAATAAGAAACTTGCTTGCCTTCGCTTGAAAAGAACCTGTCTCTAAGCTCCCCTTGGGTAAGAAGGCTGAAAGGCGGAGGACCAAGAAGATTGATCATCTCGGCCAGATGTGCTCGACTCCGATACCTCTCAGATTCGGGGTCTAAACCTGTGAACAAGGAACCGCCCTCGTACAAGTCCCAAATCTAAGACACAGCTGTCAGCCATTTCGAATCACAATCATGCCGTTTATCTTACCATGCATCCCACATTTCATATATCTGCACTATATGTCCAAGGAATCCCCAGGATCACTTCCGGTGCTCGATAGATCATGGGTTGAACAAATACCGAGTGATACTGACCGACCATGGCCGAACCAAAATCGCAAAGAACTGGGGCACCGGGTCGCTTGGGTACTTTGAGTTCCTGTGACGTGTAGATTATTCTCCCGTCTTTGTCTACCTCCTTCCTCGGCACAGGGTGTTGAAGTTCAGACTCCTCGAAGTCAGTGAAGACTGAATCATCCCTGATGCCGAACATGATATTATCGGCCTTGATATCTGGTTGAAAGATAATAAGCGAATGAAAGTAGGCGAGACATGGTCTATCAACCAGTGTGTGCAATCTGACACTCTGTATGAAGATAATCCAATGCTAAAAAGAGACGATGAAGGACGACTGCGATGACTGGCGATGGTAGCCGCTCTACTGGGTTGCGGCGTAAGAAAGCCAAAACACACTCCCATAACGGGGGGTGCACAAGGCATCAATGCTTGTCTTGAGGCCCGTCGATGTAGAATGTATCAAGTAACGTTCTTATAACGTTGCGACCAGGATGGGCGGTTGGGGATTGCTCCATACGTCTGTACATATTAACCTCGTTATCCACATGCTGGCCCATGGATGCAGCCTGGACGAATATTTTGAGCATGACATAACGTCGTTCACTATGATGAAGTGTATAAGTATCTCCAATTAGCCATCCTTGAAGATCATGAGGAATCTCACTTCATGTCTCGCGCAAGCCACGCAGTTGATGTAGATCCAAATCCCAATTTGCCGATGACTTGGTATCGCTCCTTGATGACTTCTCCTATTCGAGTTGGATAATACTGCGAGGCAGTATAATATGGGAGAGTCTCCTCTTCAATCTTTTGCCTCTCGGGTATCCGAACGAAGTTCGGGTTGGAGAAGTCAAGAGGATTCCATCTCCGTCCTAGCTGGGGCAAAGATCGCAGAAGCGACGAGAACATGTTACAACTCTGTCGCGGCAAATTGTAAACGGAAGAAATAGCGAAATAAATCTGAATATGTGTAGACTTGAGCGTCTTACAGATGTTTTGGTCGTGAAGAGACGCCAGGGGTGATGTAGAATATCACCAAGTCAGGTGATTGTGCCCCTGGAAGAGTCGAAATTTCGCAACGGCCCATGTAAGCAAAAAATCTGGGAGTGGAAGAACGGTGCCTCGTTCTGGCAAGCCAGAGTCACTAAAGGGACAAGACGGGATGTGACCGGGTGCCACACCCTACCAGAAGAGCTCATGCTTTAGGGAGACCGAGGAATATATACGAACGGTCATTAATCACATTGTTATTTTATTAGGACTTGTCTAATCAGAGAGCCAATGAGATCCCCCCTGCCAATTCAATGAAACTGAAGAATGCGAAATACCTAAGTTCCATCTACGCAAAGTAGCTCTTCCATAGAACACCCGATAAATCTTCTAGCTGATCCGGTGTGAAAGCCTGTAGTAATAATTGTTAGCCGCTTGCTTCGAAAGAGAATTGAGGATAAAAGAAAGCACGAACCTTTGCATCAATGTGCCAAGTATCTTGTCTAGTCTTCTTGAACTCGCTGATGATCGACTTCACGCTCGAACCAACGATGCCAGGATCATTAGCAGCGCGGATACTGAGCGAAGTCAATGCCTCGGGCATCCATTGAGGAGGAGGACTGTTGTAAGGGAAGGCCTGGATCAAAGCGCCAAGACCCAGCACAGCACCGTGGCGAACAATAATCAAGCGGTTGTGCTCGGGAGTGGGGGTTCCAGCGCCGGATGAGACAGCAGAGGAGGCAATTCCTGAACGGAAGTTCTTCGGTTTCTTAGGGAGAGGGTTGTCGATCAGAACCTTCGTGAAGCGTTCATGGAAGCGGCTGACCATCTTTTCCCGCAGGAAGACAGGCGAGCATCGGACCATACCGGATAGCGTGGCCGAGGCGCCAGCGCGGACTTCGTGCTGGGGGTCTTCCAGCATGGAGGCGATACACTCGAAGAGCTTGTCGCGGTCTGCGGGGTCGAGCAGGAACAGGCGGCGGAAGTAGATGATTTGGATGTTGATCATGATACGCAGGCGCTGGTGCCATGATGGGGATGTCTGTCCGATGCGGATGAGAGATTGGATGAATTCGGAGTTTCTCTCGGCTGGGTAGGGGATGTTGGGGAGGTGACGGAAGACGTGGTATGCGAGGGACTGAAGCTCCGGGTCTTCCTTCACATCCATCATGTGCAGGAGCTGCGCGGTGAAGACATCAGGGAAGAATGAGACAAGCTGGGTACACTCGTGAGAAGACAAAGTCGAGTCCAGCCAAAGGAGAACAGTCTTGCTACCCGAGGTGTAGGATGAGGGTGTCTGTTGGCCAGGAGTTCTGGCCTTCCGCCATTCCTCGATTCGACTGAAAATTCCATGGATCACCTTTGTAAATTCTTCGGTAGGCGGATACGGATATGCGCCAACCGAAGAGGATGATTTCTGGGCCTCGAGAAGATGCTGAACATCAGGGTAGGACTCATGGTACCTCGTGCGATAAATAGTTGCAAGAGTCTGACCCATTGCTTCGCGAACGCCCTTGTATGGGTGGTCCAAATGTGCGAGGAAATCTTCCACAATGGGTTTCTCAAGCTGGTAATGCCAACCAGAATCAATGATACATTGATGCAGGAGGTTGATCTTGGAACTTTCCTTGAATGCTGCGTTGGTCGACATGTCCAGACGGAAGCTGGATAGCCAATCGACCAGCGGCCAAGCGCGGCGGGGATCACGGCATTGAAGGATCATGTGAAGGAATGTTGTCCAGTAGCCAGAGTTCTCCGGAGTGAGGCCGTCGGTGAAGATCTTTCGTACAATAGGGAATGCATACTCCCAGACCATGGTCCGCTTCTCCACGCCTGTATCTGTCACAGAGGAGATCAAAGCTCCGAGAATTTCAGCCGTGGCACGATGTTGGTGCTTATCACTGCCGTCTTCAAAGACTTCCTTGATCTCTTCTTGGATTTCCTCAAAAGTAACGGCTGTAAGCCCATCCCGGATCATCAGCTCGAATGCGTAGAGAAGCATCATGGCACAGGACATGCGGAACTTGTCGGCAGATGGGTCCCGGGGCTCTTGCTTCAAGTACATGAAGAACTTGGAGAACCACTGGCGAGTGAACAACTTGCCCATCTTGGTGCGAACCTTCCATTCAACATCGTCATACTCGATGTCCCGTGCTACATTGGACTTGTAAGCTGGCATAGTCTTGCCCCACACGAGCCAGCCAGGGAAGTCGTGATCAACATAGTACTCTGCCTCAGGCTTCGCAAAGCTAGAAAGGTATTCTTGGGTGTATTCTTTATCATAGGGTTTGGTTGCAACCTTGATCTTTGACGGGAATCGCTGATGACCAAGAATGTAGTTTTTGTATTCGTGAGTGCAGATGGCCCGCACATCGATCATAGTGAACAGCGCGATGAGAGCCTGGGAGTACATGCCTCGCAAGCCAGGGTGGTCGTCAATAGACCCGAGTGTCATCAGTTCAATCAAGTTGTCGCTGGCGATGTAGTCAAAGCGGAGACCCATAGTGATGACGATGGTCGCAGCACGACTGGCAATCTTCCAGTGGGATACTCGCGCCAGGTTGACCAGCTCTTCGGCCAGGTCGGCTTTCTTTTGCTCGATAGCAACGCGCTTGCTGTTGACCACTGCGCGTTTTTTTTCTATCTGGTCAGTGACATCTTCAGTAGGAGCAATTGCCTCCACAATTTCTTGATCTAGGATAGCCATTCGCTCCATTGCGCGGCCGTAATCCATGACCTGGAAGACTGCGGTGGAGCAAATTTTCTGGACGGAAGGCTTATCAACGGCGCTGGCATCTATAAAGGTCCTGACCACGGCAGGCGCATACTTCCAGTGCCGCCCGACGGTTTTGGCTACACTGCTCAGAAGCAGCGAGTAGAGTGCTCCCTTGATGCGTGCATGATCATTTTCCTTGACACCCCTTTGCAAAGCCGTGAGTAGAGGGGGAATAACGAGTAGCCTACCGCCATAGACCGCCTTGAGTGCCGATTCGCCTGCGTTTTGAGCATTACGGCGCGTTTCCGTGTAGAGCGAGACACAGGATTCGGCAATATCAAGAAGAAGAATTTCATCAAGCTTAGACCGAGGACGGGGAGAAGCGTTGTGCCGTAGGCGTTGGAGATGATAGACGTTGGCCCTGCGAACAAGCAGAGCTCTAGGGTAATCTTTTCGGATACCACTCATCTTATACGGATGAATGTCCGCGGCCAAGAGGCGAGTCACTCGGTCGAGTACATGAGCGGACCTTTCCATGCCCACATCAACAAACCACGACCTAAAGGCAGAGTATAAAGCCCCAAAGCAAGGGACATCATCCTCTTGCTTATCGCTCAAGAACCGGTGTACATCATGCAGGACCCAGCCAGTTCGCTCACGGAGTTTATGGATGGTAGTGTATAGCGGGTCTCCCTCCTTGAGGGCATACCCAGTGGGGTAGGTAAAAGCCTGTCTGATTATAGCATCATCAGAGCTGTCCAGGACAGTATCGGTATCTTCATCAACACTATTCGAAACGCCCGAATCATCCTTCATATCGACATCCTCGGAGGTGCCATTTGAGGGTCCTTGTGTTGTGGTTGATGCCGCTTTGGGATCAAACAGAACTGAAACTCCAGACAACACGAGCCGCAGGAGCACGAGGTTCCTAGTAACCTCATCTGACCAGTCCTTGCCGCTTCCATCACGTTTGACAGTTGATGTTTCATGAGTCAGCGCAGATAGCGACTTCAAAGCCGTCTCTGTCTGGATTTTGAAGACGTCGACGGCAAACTCAATTTCCTGACGGGTCGGCACATGCCAATTGATGTTGAGATTGTTCACATCCGCTTTGTAACTCCAGAGCTTCGGCTCGATACCGTTCGCTTTGACAGAAGGTTCGTAGAGTGAGAAATCATTAGTGTATGTCCCAGTCAGGTTGAGCAAAAGGTGGTGGATAAAGTTGGAAATATGAACTGTAGGAATGCCACGGCAGTTCTGTTGCATGTAGACTGCAATGTCAAACAGTTCCTGGCGGTGACCAATGACGGCGCTGCCGACATGCACCACACACATGCTCAGCATACTGACATTCCAGACCAGAGCTCGATCACGAGGCAAAACATCGGTTCCTGTGGTTCGGGTTGATCCGGCACCATTATCTTCAATCTCCGTGCGGATAGCTGAAGTCAAGACAGGGATGAAACGCTTGAGGGCCTTCTCGGGGTTAACCTTGCATAGGGCGTTGCAAATGAAAGCCATTGCATCACGAGCCTGGTGAATGACATGGTTGGACACGAAATCCACAATCTTCCCCAAAGCTATATCGTAATACTCCGGGGACAAGGAAGCGAGCAAAGGCATGAACGTAGCAGGAAGGGTATTCACGATATTCTCTTCGGGTGAACCGTTTCGAACCCTGGAGACGTCTGGCAAATTTTCCAAGAGTGTGAACACACGGCCAAGGAAAGCTATCGTGAAGTCTCCGAAACCACATGTCGAAGAGCGCAAGATCAATTCCTCGGTCTCATCATCCAACTCGGTATCATAACCCAGCTGTACCTCGGAACCCTGCTCTTCCATCCTTTCCATTTCACCTGAGATCCATTGCATGGCAAGCATGTTGGAGTTGATGTCATCTCGCCCTTTGGTCAAGTCGACCATCGGAATATTGTAACAGGCCGATTGGATGAATGACAGAGCATGGAGCGATTTTTCAAGATCATTCGCGTCAATTCCGGGCAGCGTCAGACCCAACAAAGTTGTCATATGACAGCGATAACCTTTGGTGCGCGAAATGACACGAGACAGCGATGTCATAGCCCGAAGCGAGGATGCAGTCCGGTGCACCTCAACCAGACCTTGCAGTGAAGGGTATATTCTCTGCAAAGCCCCGGGTAGAATGAGATGCGGTTCCAAGTAGGCCAGGCCTTGCAAGGTCGAC